TTTTTATTTTTTACAATAACAAGCTGCAATGAAAACAAGCCAAAATGAAATAAAAGTAACGACTTTCTACTTCTTGCGTTTTTTTAAAAAAAATGTAAGGAATAGAAAGTACAGAAATGTGAGAAGTAGAAGTAAAAAGTAGGCTGAAAAATAATTACTCTAGTAAAGTACCCAAAAAATTCTGCTTAAATACAGTAACAAAGTATTTGTACTTTACAACTCTGGAATAAACACAACCATCTTCGCACAGGTTGCAAGACTTCTGCAGCCATCAGTAATATTGATTGAAGACGCAGAAAAAATGTTCTACAAAAAGACTCCCGCTGCAGAAACAGAGGTACACTGGAGCACAGCAAAAACAAGACTCCTACACTGTAAAAAAAGTGTTTCTCAAAATAAATAAAACTTCTTTTTCCCCACGAGCAGCTGGACCCCAAACGTCTGAAAAAAAACCTGCCCGAGTTGCTCAAGCTGATTAAAGGAGAAGATCGTGTCCTTGTTATAGGGACCACTAAAGACCCACACAGTGCTGATGTGGAGTCATTGTGTAAAATGTACACCAAAATCATCCTCATCCCAAGACCTGACTACAGCTCAAGATATGGTATAAACACCGACACGCACTAATTATCTGTTATAATTAGTTTGTGTTTTAAAAGAAGGCGTCTCTCACTCTTCCAGTTTTGTGGAAGAAACTGATCATGAAGGAAGGAGGTGAGGTAACATTTGCTTTGGACCTCAGCTCTCTTGCAAAGAACTCCGATGGCTACACTCCAGGTCACATGGTCCAGGCCATCAGGAGCGTGCTTACCAAGAAACGCATCCTGCAGCAGGCCAGGAAACCACTGACTGCTAGAGAGTTCATCCCTGCGCTGGCCAAACTGGACCCCGTGTTTCAGGAGGAGGAGGAGGCGCTAAAGGTAGTGTTAAATGCAGTGTAACAGACTTTTGATGCTTTTTTTGCCACAAATTTTTAAATCTGTCAGTCGATGTTTGTAGTTAGCCAAAGTAGAAAGTTTTACTTGTGAAGTAAATTCAAATGGTACCAAAAACCACCTAAACTGGCTCCTCTGGGTGTTTCTTTCCTGTTTAACTGAATTTCTCACCTTATCTCTTAAAGGGAAAAAAAAAACACCTGAATCGGCTTTTGATTTAACTGATCTTTATCTCAGCTGCAAACTGCTGCAGTTAGAGCTGGAGATCACGGAACAATGATGCCAACAGGATGTTTGTTCTAATTATTTGTTACTTTAGATCATGTTTATTGATAGGTTGTGTTTGACACAGTTTCCTTCTTGTCTTCAGAGCTGGTATGCCAAGACACCTCTAGGAAAAAAGAGAATCAAAGCTGCAGCCGGAAAGGAAGAAGAGTTGCCACCGCCACCTAAAGGCAAAACTACAAAGACAAAAAAGAAAAAATAAGTTTGTTTTTTGTCCGTGATTCGAGATTCAAGTGAYGTTAACACTGTTCAGATCACATGTTGGGTAGATCAATAAAAATTTGACATATATGTATATTTTTTGTTTATGTGAAGATTTTTGTCTTTAGTCAAGCTTTGTTTACAACAGTTCAGGACATAAAGCAATGCTTGTTTTAGTGGTTGTCCAAATACATTTAACCTAATTGTCACAAATGACATCTAACACACTTTCAAATCCCGGCCCGGGGACCTTTCTGGTTAGAGTTTGCAAGTTCTCTCCATGCATGCGTGGGTTTTCTCCGGCTTCCTCCCACAGAACAAAAACATGACTGTTAGGTTAACTGGTAACTCTAAGTTGTCCCTAG